CAGTTGAGATTCTTCTCTGGTTTCTTATCTTTTTGTAGTTATTCAGTCACATCCAACTCTTTGTGACCCAATTTAGAGTTTTCTTGGCAAAGATACTAGAGTAGTTTTCCATTTCCTTCTTTAGCTCATTTTATAAATGAAAAAACTGAGGCAAACAGGGTTAAGTGACTTATTAAGAGTCACATAGCTATTAAGTGTCTGAGACCAGATTTGAACTTAGAAAGATGAGTCCTGGCACTCTATTCTAAGGAATGTTTAATGTTTTAAATAAATTTTTACATCTCATGGGACAGGTTTTGATTCAGGAGGAATAAAAGGAAATAAAAAATTCTCAACAATTAGCTACAAAGATTTCCCCCCAGTTTATTGTTACCTTTCTAATTCTTGCTGCATTGATTTTGTTTGTAAAAAAGTATATCAATTTTGTGATCAATGAAATAATATTTTTAAAGCACTTAACACATTGAATGACATATAGTAGGTACTTAATTGGTACTAGTTCTTTTTTCCTTTTCATCCTTTATGCAATAGAATTTATCCACTTTATTCTTTATGATCATCTGTAGCCCTTGTTTCATCAAAAATTCTCCCTTATTCTTAGTTGTGGAAGGCATCTCTTGTGTTACTCCTCCAATTTGCTTATGGTGTGACCTTTTATATCCAGGTTGTATGTCTATTTGGAGTTTATTGATATAGAATGTTGGCAAATCTAATTTCTTTTTTTTTCTCTTTTTTGGTGAGGCAATTGGGGTTAAGTGACTTGCCCAGAGTCACATGGCTAGTGAGTGTTATGTGTCTGAGATTGGATTTGAACTCAGGGCCTCCTCACTTCAGGGCCAGTGCTCTATCCACTCAAATCTAATTTCTGCTAGGCTGTTTTACAGCTTTCCCAGAAATTTTGCTAACCGAGAGTTGGCTAACCCCCTTAGTGAGTGGCATGACCACTAAACTCTTTCCTACTAGTGCCAGTTTTAGACCATTGGTCTGCCATCATCAGTCAATGACTTATTTATTTATACAACCCTCTATAGCTGGGTGGAGCAGTGGACAGAGTGCTGGGCCTGAAGTCAAGAAGACCTGAATTCAAATTTGGCCTATGTTTCCTCAACTGTAAAATGGAGTTGATAATAGCACCTACCTCACAGGGTTGTTGTGAGGATTAAATGAGATAGTAATTATAAAGTGGGCAGCTGGGTGGTGCAGTGGATAGAGCACTGGGCCTGGAATCAGGAAGACTCATCTTCCTGAGTTCAAGGACTCACTTAAGACATTCACTAGCTGTGTGACCCTGGCAAGTCACTTAACCCTGTTTTTCTTAGTTTCCTCATCTGTAAAATGAACTGGAGAAGGAAATGGCAAACTAGTATCTTTGCCAAGAAAACCCCAAGTGGGGTCATGAAGAATCAGACATGACTGAAATGACTGAACAGCAGTAACAATAACGATAACAAATTATAAAGTGCTTAGTACAGTTCCTGGCACATAATAGGTGCTTATTAAATGCTTCCTTCCTTCCTTGGTAGGTTTGGGGGGAGATAAAAGTTTTGATAATACACAGCCCCTGCCTTCACGGAGCTTGGAAGTTTTATTCCCTATTTAACAAACTCCTATTTTGGGATGACTTTTATTTTTTGGTACATACTTGTGATTTCATTGGTATTGGGGGCTCTGCCTGCCAATGTAGATCTGTAACTGCTCTGTAATTTCTAAACAACTTGCCTCCGGTTACCCAAACTGTACTGACAGATAATGTAATATGAGCCAGAATAACTGGAATATTGGACCTGTGTTTGAGGTCCCTTCACTAGGTTTCATTTTCCTCAGTCTTCACAGTGGGGGGATTGGATTAGATGGGTTTTAAGATTCCTTTTAGCTCTAAAATTCTATGACTAATTCAGTTCAGCAAACGACGTGCCCACTGACTGCAGAGTACCGCACTGAATACTGGGTGTGAGATACAGAGTTTAGGTATGACACAGTCCCTGCCCTAGGGCAGTAGGTGGCACAGTGGATAGAGTGCTGAGTCTAGAGTCAGGAAGACTCATCTTCGTGAGTTCAAATTCAGCATACTCCAGCATCTTTGCCAAGAAAATCCCAAATGGAGTCATGAAGAGTTGGACATGATTGAAACGACCGACCAACAAAAATCCATGCCCTTTAAGTTTAGGAGGCTCAGAGTTTAGGAGGAGAATTCGAAACAGAGTAGAAACTTGTGACAGTAAGTTTGCCTCTTTGGATAATGGATCTCCTTCCAACTTGTACCCTCTCTCCTCCCTCTCCTCACCCACCTACCCCCAAATGCAGGACAAAGAGTACTGGATGATGGAAATCTGAACTGTATTTTCTTAGAAATGCTCCTTCTCTACAGACCTTCTTGCAGTGGGGATGAGACCAGTGCCAGTGGAGACAATGCAGCTATTTACAGATAACCATGACTTCAATGGGTTGTTTGTTTTAATAATGGTATACTTTGCTAGGCTTCCTAAATTGTGCCGTTATTCTCATTGAAATAGATGCCCAGTGGTATTTGGAGCCTGGGCTCTCCTGGTGTGTTTAATTTCTTTCACAGTATGGATGACAGCCTTTTTTTTCCTCCCAGCCTGTGCTGGTATAAACTGCTTGGAATAGTTGCGTAATTAGCCCAGTGCAGAGCCAATTTGCTATAGTTTGGGGCTGGCAGGCAGTTTCTAGGTAACTAGTAGATTTTCTGGAGAGAAAATCCTACTTCTGATGATGACTGCTATGAAATTAAAGGATGAATAGCTTGATTTAAGTTTTGTTGCCATTTGGAAAATTTTTTTAATTTACTAAAAGTCTATGTCTATATGATATAAAAATATTCCATTCAATTCTACAAATGGAGTAGACTCTTTAGGGGTAGGGAACTCCCTCTCACTGGGGCCTTCCAGTGATCTCGGGGATGTCACTCTGTGTTGGTAGATCAGATCAATGCACCAGGTATGTTTTCTGAGCTGCCTTACAAATCTGGTATTCTGTGAGTAAAACATATGTATTAGGTGTCTGCTTTGAGTAGGACTTATCTTTGGGCCCTGAGGGAGACATTAATAGGTCAGTAAGTACTTATTACTGTGTGCCTGGGACTGTGCTAAGTATTTGAGGCATTGTGCTAAGCTCTGATAGGACCTGATACCTGCCCTGAGGAGCTCAGTGCCCTGTGGGGATAAGATAAGCACACAGATAGAATACTGTTAAGTATATAAGTGAATAGAAGAAGTACAAATAATACAAATGGTTAGAGAAGTACAAATAAAGGACTGGTTGAGATCTGAGAAGGTAGCACCTTAGCTGGTCCTTTATCATTGGGAGGGTGTTAATTGGCAGAGTTTGATTTGGGATTTTTGGGATTGAAGTAGGGGAAATATTCTCTCTGAAATAGGATGGCATTGTAGAAAGAACACTAGATTTAGAGTTAGCAGGCTTTGAATTTTGGCTGTAATGATTAGTTCTTAACTGTGTGACCATGGGGCAAGTCATTTAATATCTCTGGGCCTCATTTTTCTCTCCTTAAGAATGGTAATAAGTAATACTTAATGCTTCCTTTCTCATAGGGAAATAGTATTATTTTAGGAATAGGAAAAATTGACTGTCAGTCTTGGTTTCTCCATCTTCCTGAGTTCAAATCCAGCCTTAGAAACTAACTGTGTAACTCTGGGCAAGTCACTTAACCTTGTTTGCCTCAGTTCCTCATCTGTAAAATGAACTGGAGAAGGAAATGGCAAATACTCCGCCATCTGCAAAGAAAACCCTAAATGGGGTCATGAAGAATCAGATACAATTGAAAAATGGCTCAACAAAGTTGGTGCCATTTTTCCAACAGCGTGTGCTCACATCATGTTTCTGTGTCACATTTAGGTAATTCTTGCATTATTTCAGATCTCTTCATTATTATTATATCTGTTATGGTGATCTGTGATCACTGATCTTTGATGCTACTATTGTAATTGTTTGGGGGGCCCCCATGAACTGTGCCCACATAAGATGGTGAACTTAATCGATAAATACTTTGTGTGTTCTGACTGCTCCACCAATTCAAAGTTCCCCATCTCCCTTCCTGTCCTAGGGCCTCCCTATTCCCTGAGACACAACAATATTGAAATTAGGCTAATTAATAACTGTATAATGACCTCTAAATATTTAAGTGAAAGGAAGAGTCAGTTGATGTGGCAAACTTCATTGTTGTCTTATTTTAAGAAATTGCTACAGCCCCCAGCCTTCAGTAACCACCACCCTGATCAGTCAGCAGCCATCAACAGCAAGGCAAGACCCTCCACCAGCAAAAAAATTATACCTTGCTGAAGGTTCAGATGGTGGTGAGCATTTTTTAGCAATAAAGTATTTTTTAATTAAGGTATGTACATTTTTTAGACATAATGCTATTGCATACTTAATAGACTACAGTATAATATAAACATAACTTTTATATGAAACACAAAAATTCATGTGACCTTGCTTTATTGTGATGCTCGCATTATTGCTGTGTTCTGGAACTGAACCTGCAATATCTCCAAGGTTTGCCTATATTAAATATGTAGAACACTTTGCTTTGAAACATTGTATAAATGTTAGGTATTATTATTATTATTTATCAAAGCATGTCACCCAAGAAGCAAGCAGAGAAGTTCACCACTAGGTTTGCCACAAGGTCATGATTTTTTGGACCACATCAGCACTCAAAGGCTCATTTACTAAGTAGTAGAGGGATTAGAGCCTCAGTCACTGGAGGGGGAACCTGCGCTGGTGAAGTCATTGACCCTGGAAGTGCTGAAATGATAAGAATAGTAGTTCAGATTTGTAGAGGACTTTGGTCTTTTTTTTTTTTTTTTTTTGGTGAGGCAATTGGGGTTAAGTGACTTGCCCAGGGTCACACAGGAGGACTTTGGTCTTAAAAGGTACTTTCCTTATAGCAAACCTTTTAGGCAGAGAAGGTACTTTTCATTTTCCTTATTTTACAGATGAGGAAACTGGTTTAGAAGAGGAAAGGACTGCCAGTGGTCATGTGTCTTGTAAATGGTGAAGGTGAGAATTCAACCCAGGTTTGGGGGCCTTCCTATAATAGCTGGGCTTTCCTAATTCCATCCCATTTTATAGGTGCCTCAGCATAGTGTCCCTGTAAATTGTTAGCCCAGACGTGCCCATCTAACTACTCTTTCCTGACCCACCTCATATTTTCAGCCAACCACTAAGATAGTTTTGTAATCTTTTACCCAAGATAGAGGACATGCCCACCATAAACTTTTCAATGACTTGGTTTACAGCAATTAAAATTTTTGACGACATCAGCTAATAACTACGTGATAATTTACCACTTACTATCTGTGTGATAGGTGAATCATTTCAACCTTTTTGAGCTTCTGTTTCCTCATCTGTAAAGTGAGGATAGTAATAATAATACTGATTTCCAAAAAGCATATAAAAGTATAAAATGGGCCTCCTGACTGAAGATAGGAAAGGTTGAAAATGAGACAAAGTAAGACATTGACTCTCACATTTCTTCCAGATTAATAGTTGCAGACAATAACCTTAAAGAGATCAAAAAAGCAACAGCAAATGAGCCCTTGATCTTCTTGCCAGGTTTTGAGATATGCAACCAAGGACAACACCAGTTTAGTATACAAGCTCATTTATGAGGATAATTTACATTTATAGAGCCCCTTAAGGTGACATAAGACACTTACAGCACAACAGTGAAGTAGTTGATGCACATACCATTCAGTGTTAAAAGGAGGAAACTGTAAAGGAGAAGGCTCAGAGGGAGGGGGACAGGGAAGGGAATGAGCATTTATGTAGCACTTACTCTGTGCCAGGAACTGTACTATATGCTTTACAAATATTAACTCATTTGATCCTCACAACAACCCTGAGAAGTAGGTGCTGTTATGCCCATTTTACAGTTGAGGAAACTGAGGCAAACAGTAACTTCTGACTTACCCAGAGTATCTTGTCTTTAGCAGGAATTTGACTGTTTTCCTACCTCCAAGGACTTTTTGCACTAAACTAAGAGACCTCTGAGATAATGGGTGTGAAAGACTTCGTGAGGGTGAAACAGAACACAAATATAAACTATTACAATAATTATTAATATCTGCAGAAGCATCCATTAAAGACACTCTCCCCACTCTCCACTTATCTTTATGCTAGTTTGTACACCAAGCTGGAGTCCCTTCCCAGTAGGAGCTGACTCTCTAAGGAGCAAAGAGCTCTGGGATAGTAATCTTCAGTCTTCAGTTCAAAGCCTCACACTGCTGCTGAATTTCCTGTATGACCTTGAAGTAAACATGCCATCTCCTTGGAACTGTTTCCTCACTGCTGAAAATGAAGGGGTTAGATTAAATGATCATTTATGTCCTCATAAGCACTAACATTATATTGAATAAATAAAGCATTCATTAAGTACTTACTATGTGTAAAGCACTGTGTTAAGTGCTGGGGATACATATAGAAAGGTAGGACAGTTCCTACTGTCAAGAGTCAGGAGAAGACAGCCATGTGGGAGATTTCAGCTGCAAGCTGAATGGAAAGTTCCCCACTACAAGGTGTAGTGGTAAAGCAGATAGTAACGCCTCTTTCTTAATGTCATTACCATCAAAATCCTGTCAGTTTCTGTTGTTGAGCCATTTGATCAGTGCCATAGATATTGGTGGAAAGAACTTGCTTTTCTAGGTCTTCAAAAGATGAGGCTGTAGTGGAGCAGCCAGGTGGCACAGTGGATAGAGCTCTGGCCTTGGAACTCTTGGAAGGACCTGAGTTCAAATCTAGCCTCAGACATTTGACACCTACTAGCTGTGTGACCCTGGACAAGTCACTTAACCCCAATTGCCTCACCAAAAAGAAAAAAAAAAGATGAGGCTGTAGCATATGCAGGAACAGTTGCCAGGCTGCATCTCTTTATGAGTTACTTCTTAGGAAGATGGCGGAGGGCACTTGCCTAGAAGCATTTCTAGTCCCAAGGTTCTTGGTTTCAGGATCCTGGGCTATCTCCATGAGGTTGTGAGGGGAGATGATGGTCAAGGTTGGTCAAGGTGGTGGTTGTCTGCCAGATGCTGCCTCTTGTCTTTCCCTCAGGATGCCTTGGTGCTTCAGCTAGGCTGATTTGCTTGTCCTGTGTGGGAGGGGGGTATTGCTGGGTTGGTTGGTTCCTTTGCCAAGCCAATTGCTTTCTCAGATGATGGCTGTGGGGGCTGGCCTAGAAGCAGGACCCACAGTGGTCTAGGGGGTGCTGCCACTACCAGGCATCCGCCTTGTTTAGCAGTTGGGCAGTTTGTGGTGATGAGGAAGGTAGACCTCTTCTCCACAATGATTTCTCTCCCCAGGAATAGCTGTGGGAGCTGGGCTGGAAGCAGTTCTGGTGGCTTAGGGGACACTTCTATTCCCAAGACTCTTGAGTTCAGGGTCCTGGTATGTCCCCATTGGGATCTGAGGGGAGATGGTGGTCAGGACGGTGGTGGTGGTGGTTTGACTTGCCTGGAACATGCTGTCCCATGTCTCTCCCACAGAGTGCCCTGCTGCTGCTTCAGCCAGGCTGGCTTGCCTGTCCTTAGTACTCAGTTCTTTCCCAACCCTCACAATGTATAGTTTACAACCCAAAGTGTCTTTCAGATCTGACATTGCATGTTTTAAAGCTCTTTTAAACACTAATGTATTACAATAATTCCTATTTCTATAGTGCTGTAAAGTTTGCTAAGAACACATCTCGAACATCTCTGTGAGTTAGTGTAAGTATTATCCCATTTTATAGAAGAAGAAACTGAAGCACCAGAGACTAAAGGATTTTGTCAGGGGCCAATATCTTGGTATTAGAACTAGGACTCCAACCTGGTGACTTGAAGACTGCTCTTTATTACTGTGCCTTATATTCCAAGGTCTCTTCCAATGCTGATTGTTTTTGTGTAATTGTCCAAAGTTGGCAGCACTAAAAGCTGTCATAGAAAAGACCTTCAGGGGCTGACTGAATGGTAAACAATCTGACTTCAGGTGTGAACCATGAGGTTTGGTGGGAGTCATGAGACTTACGTGTTAAGACACGGTGGTATAAAGGAGGGATTCAGTATGTATTGGATTCAGAGTCACAAGCATCTGGATTTAAATCTTGGCTCTATGTCATTTACTAGTTGTATGACTTGGGCAGTTTCCTTCTCTGTGCCTCAGTTTTCTGCTCTGTAAAATGAGGAGGTTGGACTAGTTTTTTTTTTTTCTAGATCTTTCCACTGCACCATGTTGCACTGGGGCCTCTTTCCTAGTCTCTTAGGTGTGCTGTGCTCTCTACTAGTACTATGCTAGGAGGAAACTTCTGCATGCACACTTGAGGGCTTAATTGTAGGTAGCCTTCAGCAGGTTTTTTCTTCCTTTGTAATTGGCTTTATTTACAGCCTCTCAGTCATAAAGATGGTGTATGTCCTAAATGGAAGATCAGTAGAAATTTCCAGCTTAGTCAATTATTGATGCCTACGAATGTTGCAGTGAATTTGTTTTAGGGTTTTAGAATTTGAAGAAATCTCTGGCACAGGATTTTGGCATTGGCCTGGTTTGGCTAATTACTCTATAAAGATAATGACCATTTATTTTTTAGTGCAACAAATTACTGCTTTGTGTCTGGCCTTTCTCTTTCCTTTCTGGGCTTTGAGTGGAATAGCTATTGTAGAAGAGAATTTAAACACATATATTTTGTTTGATTGTTAGAGCAGTAGAATACCTTTCTCTAAGCAAGTGTCTTAAGGGTCACTCAGCTGGAAGTCTGGTGGGAATGGGGTGGCCTACTTGTTGAGGATATTAAGATTGAAATCTTGAATTCACACTTTCTAGGAATGTGTGTACTAAAAACAAGTTGGGATTTAGTTGGATGATAATTTTACTCTAAAGTATATGTGAAACTTTGATAGAGGTGTGTCTCTAAAATGAGGAGACTGATTTTCCTAAGTCCAATTTGGATCTGTGGCACACTTTCTATATGGGAAGAACACAAATTTTGTATCTTTTTGTATATCTACCTCTCTTTTTGGGAAGACATAAGAATGTTTCCTGAGGTAGGGAAGTACAATGTAGTGGAAAGAGCAGAGGGAGTCTGGGAAACTGACCTCTGATCCTGGAGAGGTGCTTTTTCCATATTTTTTTCTTTGTATTGCCAGAATCTAGCACAGATCTCATAGATCTTTGTAGTCCCAGTATCATAGCACTGGGAAAACATTTGTTTGTACAGAGATTCCACACTTCCCATGATAGCCAATTGTAGAGGTTGTCTGCAACCCAACCCTACCTATTCTTGTCCTCCAACATTCTCCTCCTTAGCCCCCACTCTATTCTGTGTAAGCCCCAGCTCTTCTCTCTCCCGACTTCTGAGTTGGACATCATCCTTGGGGCAGTTAGGACCTAACTCCAGTAACAGCTAAACAGCAGATGTCATTGGGCAGGTTCCTCCATCCAGCGTTCTAGACTAAACTCCTGCCCTCATGGCTGTGGCAGGTGCTCCTCTGAGGGCTTTGCCCTGTGGTCAGTCACTGGTGAGGAAGAACCCTGCCCCTGTTTTTGTTTTAAGTAGGCCAGAAGGAGATGGACAGAAATGGATGATACTGTTTCCTCAATAAACAATACATTTTCTTCCAAACTTATTTCTCTTCTTTTTGCACTTAATAGTATTTTTTTAACCTATTCATGTCAGTTTATTTTTTAGTTTTCAAATGAACTTTTGTAAGATTTTGAGTTCCAAATTTTTTTCTCCCTCTCTGTCTCCCCTCCCCCCTCCCTAAGACAGCAAACAATCCAATATAGGTTATACAATCATATTAAACATATTTTCACATTAGTCATTTTGTGAAAGAAGAATCAGAACAAAAGGGAAAAACCACAAGAAAGCAACAAAAAAGAGAAAACAGTATGCTTCTATCTGTATTCAGACTCCATAGTTCTTTCTCTGTATGTGGATAGCATTTTCTATCATGAGTCTTTTGGAATTGTCTTAGATCCTTGTATTGCTGAGAAGGGTTAAGTCTATCAATATTAGTCATAGCACAACGTGGCTGTTACTGTGTACAATATTCTCCTGGTTCTGCTCACTTCACTCAGCATCAGACCATACAAGTCTTTCCAGGTTTTTCTGAAGCCCACTTGCTCATCATTTCTTATAGCACAATAGTATTCCATTACATTCATATACCATAACTTGTTCAGCCATTCCCCAGTTGATGGGCCTCCCCTCACTTTCCAATTCTTTGCCACCACGAACAGAGCTGCTATAAATATTCTTGTACATGTGGGCCCTTTTCCCTTTATGATGATCTTTTTGGGTTACATACTTAGTAGTGGTATTGCTGGGTCAAAGTGTATTCATAGTTTGATTACCCTTTGAGCATGGTTTCAAATTGCTCTCTAGAATGGTTGGATCAGTTCACAACTTTACCAACAATGCATTAGTGTTCCAATTTTCCCACATCTCCAACATTTATTGTTTTACCTTTTTGTCAGATTAGCTAATCTGATAGGTGTGAGGTGGTGCCTCAGAGTTTTTTTGATTTGCATTTCTCTAAACAATAGTGATTTAGAGCATCTTTTCATATGACTATAGATAGCTTTAATTTCTTCATCTGAGAATTGCCTGTTCATATCCATTGACCATTTCTATCAATTGGGGAATGACTTGTATTGTTATAAATTTGACTCAGTTCTCTATATAGTTGAGAAATGAGGCCTTTTTCAGAAACACTGGCTATAAAAATTGTTTCCCAGCTTTCTGCTTTCTTTTTAATTGTGGTTGCATTGGCTTTGACAAACTTACTACCCTTAAGGGAACCCTGTCCTTCTAGCCAAAGGTTCCCAATCTCACCCTGGATTTGTCACTTCTCTCACTCCACATATCCGGTCAGTTGCCAAGTCCTGTCATTTCTCTCTTCACAGCAACTTTTTTCTCCTCACAGAGTTGCCCTCTTAGTTCCAGTGCCCATCACCTCTCACCTGGACTACTTCAATGGCCTTCTAGTTGGTCTTCCTTCTGCAAGTCTCTCCTTTCTCCATTCTGTCCTCCACACAACTGCCTAAGAATTCTCCTAAAGTGCAGGTCAGACCATATCACTTCCCTACTCAGTAAACTCCAGTGACTCCCAGTGGGCTGTAGAATCAAATATTTCCCCTTTATCTTATCCTTTTTAATGAATAGTTTTGTGTTGTCTTATAGTGTACATAATCATAGTAATGAATAAATATGAACTGTATTACTATATTCACTTAGCAATGAATGAACATGAATCACATATATACAATTTATAGATAAATAAATTATAAATAATTGGTTGCATGCTTAAATTTGTTTTGCTTTTCAGGGGAATGTAACAAAAAAAAGTTTGGATATGATTGACCAAGAGGCTAAATGAACCAAAGCTGACATCTGTTTCAGTTACACAGGAGGCCTCATTTCTCAAATATAGGTAACTGAGCCAAATTTATAAAAATAACAGCCATTCCCCAATTGCTCAATGATCAAAGGATAAAAACATGCAATTTGCAGAAGAAGAAACCAAAACTATCAATGGTCATATGAAAAAAATGCTCTGAATCACTAATAATTAGAGAAATGCAAATTAAACAGCTGTGAGGTACCACCTCACACTTATCAGATTGGTTAACATGACAGAAAAAGAAAATAATGAATGCTAGAAGGGATGTGGAAGAATAGGGACATGAATTCACTGTTGGTGGAGTTGTTAATTGGTCCAACAATTCTGGTGAACAATTTGGAACTGTGCCCAAAGGCCTATAAAATTGTGCATACCCTTTGATTCAGCAATGCCAGTACTAGGTCTGTGTCTCAAAGGGATCAAAGAAAAAGGAAAAAGACATATATATTTATAGCAGATTTTTTTTTGTGTGGTGGCAAAGAATAGGAAATGGGAGGGGATGCCCATCAATTGGGGAATGGCTGAACAGGTTGTGATGGTATATGATTGTGATGGAATATTATTGTGCTATAAGAAATTATGAGGGGGATGGTTTCAGAAAGATCTGTGAAGACTTCTATGAACTGATACAAAGTGATACAAAGTGATACAAAGTGAAGTAGAGTAGAACCAGAAGAACATTGTCCAAAATAACAGCAATATTATACAATAATCAATTGTGAAGGACTTAGCTACTGTAATCAACACAGTGATTCAAGACAATTCCAAAGAACTCATGATGAAAAATGCCATCCACCTCCAGACACAGAACTGTTGGACTCTGAGTGCAGATTGAAGTATAATTTTTTCACTTTTCTTTCTTTTTCTTATTTGCAACATGGCTAATATGGAAGTGTTCTACATGACTTCATATATATATATACACATATATACATATATGATGGATATCATATTGCTTGGCTTCTCAGTGGATGTGGGAAGGGGCTGGAGGAAGGGAGGGAATTTGGAACTCAAAATAAAAAAATGGTTTTTTTAAAAAGCACTTAAGAACTGAGTGAGGTCAGTAGTGCACAGTTTTTGTTTTTTGGTCTAGATTTTTTTTTTTTAAATTTCATGAATGCGGAGAGCTTTTAATGACAAAACTCCCTCCGCAGATGCAGGTCAGTAGCTTCTCTGCAAAAATATAGTTTTATCAAGTTGCCTAGGGCATTGAGAAGTTTAGTAACATGCCTTCAAGATCACATAGTCAGGATGTGTCAGAAATGAAATGTTATATAATGATTATTTCCATTTTACAGATGAGGAAACTGAGTCTCAGAAGGGATAAATGACTTGTTCTCAGTCTAAAAAGTGGTAGAGCCTGGACCAAAATTTCATTCTCCTTTCTCTAAAACTAGCATTCCTTCCACTACACTGTTGCAACTGTAAAGCATTTAGAATTCAAATCCTGTGGTTTGAGTCTAATATTAATCAGTCTCATATGCAGTCTTGGTTTACAGAGTGCTTTTCTCACAATAGCCTACCAGAAAGTTTCATCCTGCTAGGTCAGACTCTGAATAGAAAATAAGCTACCACTTGAGAAGGAATATTTCAAAGTGATTTTGAAAAATGTTTTGTAATTGGCCTATTAGGCTACCATGGTGTTAATGTATCTACCATCATTTATAACTCAGGAAATAAATAAGTAAATGTCTTTTATCTCACTTTAATTATGTTTCTTTGATTAAAAACAGGCAGAAACTCTTTGCAAACATCTTGTGGCAAACAAGGGAAATAGAGGGAAATTCATTCCTTAATGAGAATGGCATCCTAAAAAGAATCTTATTTAAAAAACATATTAAAATAAAAAACAGATATGTCAGCAATCCAGGCAGAGTGAAAACTAGCTCAGTAAAAACTGTAAATTGGTCCCAGCCATTATCATTTCTGATCACTGTAACTTGCTTACTGGGAGCTTAAACCATCTGGTTTTTCTGTTAATCCTTTAAAACCCACTTGGTGGATTTTTCAGGGAAGAGAGGTAATAAACCTTGAAATATGGCCACCAATCTTCCTAGCCCACTTCTGAGTTAATTGCCTGCAAACTTAAGTGTTTTTGGAAAAAACCAAAAGGAATTAAATGTTGCTGTCAACTCTCTGGGACCCAGCTGGAGCCCTATGCACCTGTCATTGGCTTGGAGGAGGTTTCCTCTATAATTAAGAACTCCTCCCTCATGCTTTTGCTTCACTGCAGGTCACAGGAACCTGGTGAAACAGTTGAATTATTTTAATTGCATACTACTTTCAGAGTCAGTGATGCTGATTGAGCCTTGTGGCTTTGTGTAGGCCTGCCCTGCTTTCCTCTTGGGCCAGTTTTATTGTCCTTTGTTGAAAGGTGAGTATAATTCCTACTCATTTGGAGGGTTGAAGATCCAACCCACCTTCTGTTTAACACAGATGCCATTTCATGTATAGACATTTGTTCTTCCAAAGACTTATAGAAGTTCAGTAAAGAAGACCAGAAAATAGTGTTGGAACAGACCCTAGAGGTCATCTAATCCAGAGGTGTCAAACACAAGGCAACACTCTCAGTTCCTTTGAAACCAGATTAAAGGGAAATTGGGAAATGTTTTTAAAAATAAGTAAAAATACAATAGAACATAGATAATGTTAATATCTAGTTTTCTAAGTCAGTATGTGGCAGACAGGGATCTTTATGTACAGTTTAGTGGCCCTGTTTCTGTTTGAGTTTGACAGTGCTGACACATTTGCTGAGCACCGTCTGTGTGCACACCACTGGGCTGGACACTGGAGGAGGTACAGGGCTTAATGAAACCATGGTTCCTGCTCACTTAAGCCTGCATTCTTATAGGGAGGTAGGTTAATAATTCATATACAATTTTGCATGACATGTATAGCAGAGAGGTATACATGAAGTTCAGTGTGAGGTTGCACGTCTTTGCTCGAAGGAGGGATAGGGAAGTTTTCATGGATCAGATAGTGGCTGGAGAGGACATTCCATACATAGGGAATAAGTGAATGCAGGGAGCTGGAGAAAGTGCTGGGCATGACTCAGAATCATGGTGTCAGAGATTGAGAGCTGGACCTCTGAAATTTTATGAATGAGGAAGCTGAGGCCCAGATCACACAGGCAGTTACCGTCTGAGGCAGGATTTGAACCTAGGCCTTTTGACTCCAAACCCAATAATGGAATCCCTAGGTTATACTGCCCAACTTGATTGAAATACAGGTGTGAAAGGGAGCAGGGTGAGGTAGGAGTGGAAAGGAAGGCTCTTACAAGGTGGTGGAGAGCCTTGAATGACAGGCTAAAAAGTGTGATTTTTACCCAGTGGACAGCGAATGCTCTCTTGAAAACTTGAGATCTGGGTGTGATGAAGTTTCTTGTGGCAGCATATGAAGGATGGCTTGGAGAGGATGAGGGAATAGGGGTTGAACAACTATTAGGAGGACATTTCAGTAGTGTAGTTGGGTGATATTGAGGCCCTTTGCTAAGGGTGGAGATCCAAGAAATGCTGCAGAATTGGTATGAACAACGTATGGGATATGCAAAGTCCAATTTCTGCCCTTCTCTGGAGTTCCTCTTAATTACCAAGTCCCTTGTAAAGTATTTTATGAATAAGTGTGTCTTAATGGAGGCTCAAGCCCCCAGTATGAAACAAGGAGTTTCTACAGTCTCCTTGGGTTAGATTAGTCATATTATGTTAACCAAAAACCTACGTGAAGCACAGCACAGATTCAGTCAAGGCATTAAACTGGAGCAGTAAAGTAAATGAAATGAATGTTATAGAAACATTCTCAGCAAACATTCCCTAAATGGATGCATTCCCCTTCTCCTTTTCCCCATCAGAGTCTGGAGAGGAATTCTCCTTTATATCCAGATTCCTCCCTGGAGGAGAACAGTGCACCATCTTGGCCTCCCCGAGCCCTGGTACTTAGTGCTTGGCTTTCTCTTTGCGTCGGCTGCAGCTCCAGGAGGCTCTGTGTTTCTGATGCCTCACCTTCTCCTAACCAGCAGCCTGCCCACCCACAAAGCAAGCCCGGTTTCTACTCTGGCTCAGAGTGAGGACATTGCCCCCAGCTCAGGACTCCCTAAATGTCGTGTCCTGTTCTTTTCTCCATGTGGCTTCCTCTTGGGCTCTTTCCTCTTCCTCTCGGATTTCTGTTTCTTCTTCAGTGATTAAGTTCCTCTTGAACCCACGCACTGTTCTCCTGGGAAGTAAAGTCCTACTTGGAGGACCTTAAGTCTTTCACCCCCCTTGCCTTTTTACAAACCTGCTTTTGCATTACAAACACACACACACACACACACACACCCCATAGTGAATAAAATAAAGTATGAACAAATCCATTTATTTTTCCTAAATTTTGTTTGATAAGTTTGACACACAGTTGGCACCTCATAAATGTTGAATCAGACTCCTCCATTTCCTTAGGTTCCAGACCCCTTACCCTTCTTCTCTCTGTGTTTTCTTTTGTTGAGCATATTATTTTGAATGTGTTGTTAGCACATGGCCCTGATGCTTATTAATCAGTCTGTGAGGCTTGGTCTGTTGGTGCCAGCTGCTTTTCAGCTATTTTTAATGTGCCTTCACATTCAGGCCTTTGTAATGCTATTTAAAACTTCCTTCCATGTTTTTAGTTTCCTCTTTAGCTCCTCTTTTCTCTTAATTCCCACCAACTGGTGCCTGTACACAAGTGTACTTTCCTTGAGTGAGACTAATTCTGTAGACATAGCTGTGGACTTGTTCAATAGCACAAGGGAGGTGGTATTGTTTCCTTTATTTGCTGGAACTCAAATATTCTCTCTGGAATGACCCTGAGAAAGGACTTAAGACATAGAACGTCAGAGTTGGGAGGGAAGGAGGACTTTGAAGAGCCTTTTGTCCAACATGGCCCTCTTACAGAAGAGGACCCTGAATCTCAGGCTCGGGAAGGGACTTGCCTAATGTCACTTAGGTAGTAGGTATGGGAATGGGGATCCAAGCCCAAATCTTCTGACTCCAAGCACTTGTGTGCTTTCCCCATTAAAC